ATAACTGTACCAAAGACTTCGAGATACAGGAAGTGTTCAGTCCCCTAATATTAGCACTCATGAAAGACAGGTTACTGTAGAGCAGGAGGAATAAATTTTGAATATCGTGGAAGATCGTGCAGATATCAGCATTCGGGAATTACGCCGCCGCGTAGGAGTATCGCATACCATAGTCTCTCATCTTTTTACAGTACGTTCCTTAGGAAAACATATATATTTCAATTTTTAAACGCGCATGAGTGATGTATAAGATCACTTTGGAAAACTATATTTCTTATTTTCGATACGAAACGGTGAAAACATTATCGGCCATGACGTTACGTCATACAAATTGTAACCAACGTTTCTTTGTTCCGTATGTTACTCGTGGACTAACGTTGTCATCTTTAGATATTTCAAAAAAACTACCAATCAACGTAAAACGTATCGTTTTATTGAACAAAAAACCAATCATGGATGTTGGATTCGTAAAGATAGTAACCACAAGCTTTCCTGTGAGTTACTGAGTAGCTACCAGTAGCTTGCAGGACTCCAAAGTGTGAACATCTGCTGAAGATGCCAACCACTCGTGTTGGCGAAACGGCAAGTAAAAATGTTTTCTGCGCTACTGAGCTGAGGAAAATCAAGACTTTTATGTAACTAAGGTCCATCTGATGATAAACATAAAAAAGAAATAATAATACATTTTTACATAAACTTCCTTTTCAGAAGTCATTCAAAACTAGGCTCATGCATCGTAAGCCTATGAATAATCTCATAATATATTGTATTTCTTCTTACACTTCTACTTACGTTCAACTTAAGCGAGACGATGAAATCTAAACAGTAAAATGTAAAATATGTCACGTAAGGTATGCTCCAATCAAAACACAGTGTTGCGTGAATTCATTTTCCTGGACACCCAGCTGGGGTCTTTGTCGACGTGTTTTATATTCTCGGACGATACAATACCGATAATTACAATATTTTTTAGGTAAACTAGTAGAAGTCATGTTTATATGTTTAAAAGCTTGACAGGTTACGCTGCTGTCAGCTTCTGTTTACAGATGGTATGACATCAGGGTTCATTAACATGTGCCAAACATATACAGGGTGTTTCAGTTTATTGTTGCATAACTTTAAGATTCGATAGAACTTTTAAAATTAATGCATAAAGTCTATATAAACATGGGTCGAAAAATGCGTGGCTTCCGAAATACAGGGTGTTTAAATTTACTTTCTAAAATAGTTCTCTTTAAATATTTCGAACAATATTTGATGCATAACAGTGAAAATTGGTATACAAGGGTTTTTTGGTACGACAAAACGAACCATGGACATAGTTTTACTGTAACCGCAAGAGGGCGCTCTCTACTGTACCTGTAGTGTATTAAAATGACCAAAAATTTTTTCTTAGTGCAATTTTTTGCTTTTTGACTAAAAAAACTGATTCATCGCACTTTTCAACATAAATAAGCTCTCTTGTGAATTTTCGTTATAGTTAGCCGTTTTTGAGATATTTCGATTTTTAAGGTTCGATGCTTTTTTAATTATTTATGGGAAAATAATATTTTTTTTACATTTTCGATTTGGGCATTACAAGTAATTAAGATGATCGTTTAGATTGTGTTTTTAAACACTGCAATAATTCCTAACTCCAAATAAACACAAAAAAACAGAATATTAATTTGTTTAATTTTCCAATATTATTTTTAACAAATTAAATTAATTATTTACAACTAAAATGCTATTGGATAGTTAGGACAAATATAGAAAATCTAAAGTAGTTGCTCGAAATGTAAACCTCGAACCTTAAAAATCGAAATCTCTCAAAAACGGCTATAACGAAAATTCACAAGAGAGCTTTTTTATGTTGAAAAGTGCGAAGAATCAGTTTTTTTATTCAAAAAGCAAAAAATTGCACTAAGAAGAAATTTCTGGTCATTTTAATACACTACAGGTACAGTAGAGAGCGCCCTCTAGCGGCTACAGTAAAACTATGCCCATGGTTCGTTTTTTCGTACCAAAAAACCCTTGTATACCAATTTTCACTGTTATACATCAAATATTGTTCGAAATATTTTAGAAAGTAAATTTAAACACTCTGTATTTCGGAAGCCACGCATTTTTCGACCCATGTTTATATAGACTTTATGCATTAATTTTAAAGGTTCTATCGAATCTTAAAGTTATGCAACAATAAACTGATACACCCTGTATACTTTCAAATTAAAGCTTTACTGCCTTCTAGATCTGAGAAGAATATAGTCAGTTATTATACAAGGGAAGAATTATTAGCTAAAACCTAGCATTTTTTACTTTTTTCTGTGACGATTTAATAATGAAAAATCATATTATTACAATATTGAAGTCAGAAAATTATCGATGTAAAATTTGAATTTTGAAATAAGTACGATATGTTGTACTGCGACAATTAGATCTGCGTTGCTATGGAAACTTTTAAAGTAATCAAACAGCTGTCAAATTAATTTTGTGATTTGATTTAAAAACTTAATGGTTGTTCAGAAGTTATTTTTAACACCATAAAGTAAAAAATGTCTGATTCCGAGTTTGCTCTGACTCTACCGGAATTAGTTGAAGTAGCCAAAGTAGCATCACAAAAATTATTGCCAGCTAAATCGCGGAAAATTTACAAAACCGCGTATTCAAGATTCATGGAATGGAAGACGAAAAAACCTGCAGCTTTTTGTCAGAGACGGTGTTATTGGCTTATTTTTCCGAATTGCCACAACAACAACAGCCATCAGTACCCTGGAGAAAGTACTAATTTTTTTCCCGAGGAAAAAAGTAATTTCATTAGAAGTGACATTTTGTTACCTGTCAAAGAATTAATTTCTTTTGTCTAATAGAACCAATATTAAATATTTAGGACCTACAGAAAAAAATGTCATGCTCAGATCGTATCTTTACTCAGGCCCTCGATGTTACAATCTGCTTCCACAAGATGTGAAACTCATTTACTCCAAATACTCATTTAGAAGAAAAGCGAAAGACTGTATAAATCTATGCCCAGAAAAAGATCTCGTGAAATTGTAGATATAAAAAAGACACAATTAATATGAAAAGCCAACTTAACGACTTTGACGATATACTTATAGGATGTTAGTAATCCCTATTTTGACAACATACTCGATAATGCCCTTTCAAACGGAGACGACAAATAGTCCCGAATATACACTCAATATGGAACAGTAAATAAAAAAAGCAATTTATGATCAACTGAAATTGTTTCCACTCTTAGTGTGTCAGATAATACATTCTCTGAAAATTTATATAACATCTAAAGTTAAATATTTCTTTTTACAAATTATTTTTTATACAGTTGGTCATACCCGCGTACAAGACCAGCCTCAGCGGGTTTTTCTATCATGTTTGTTTGTCTAAAAGATTTCCTTAAGAATAATTTATTTGTATTTTAGAATAATTTAGTTGTATTTTAGATAATAAATATTATTATTATTATTACTACTTAAAGAGGTTTCAACTATTATCATATGAAGGGTACTGGGGAAGAACGGCAATAGTCCATTATTTATCTAAATTGAGCTTTCAGTTTATTTTGGTGGCATTTTCCTGATGCTATCTTGTAGTCAGCTTCTTAAATTGTAAAAAGGGCCTAGGTTCACAAAACAGCAGCTATAAGATTCCCTGTGCCGTGGAAAAATGGCATGAGTCCCTGCGCGTCTATGGAAAAACGGCATCAGTCCATATGGAAACAGGAAGACAAAGAGACGCAATGAAAACGTTGCGCGCCACTACCCACGAACTTGGATATGATTGTTTTTGTGAACGTTTTCGCAGTTTTACTGCTGTTCAAGGCTTTTAATAATGCTTCATTTAGTTATTGTGTCCGATTGGTTGAAAATGGAATTATACGTGATGCTCCAGTTTGTCTTAAGGCTTTTTTGTCTTTACACGGGATTACACTTCATCGAGTTCGGTACATAAGAGACCCATTAGTTGCAACTGGTAAATTGCCCATCGACATGCGTGGAAAACACAACACACGACTTCACAAGGTTTCAGAAAACACAAAACAGAAAGAGACCGTGTTTATTAAAGGCCTCAAATGCCGCAAATTTCACTATTCTTTGGCAGATTCGCAAAAAGTTTACCTACCTGAAAATCTAAATATCGCAAAATTACACAAAACGTATTCTATTGGCAAAGTTGAAAACAAGATTTCCTCTAAATTCTTCAGAGAAATCTTTGAAAACAACTTCAATATATCATTCGGTTATCCACGAAAAGATACTTGTAGTAAATGTGATTCCTTAAAAGCTGATATATCTTCACTTACCGCTACCTTAAATTCCCACACGGAACAAACTAGGCAGTCCGCAAGTAATAATTTGAAGAAAAACACATTTGAGAAGACACTACATCAAAAAAGGAGACCCAAATTCTGTGATTGATAAAACCGCTGGCAAATATCACTGTGTTTTTACTCAAGACCAAGAGGTAGAACTAGTTGTATATTTAAAGGATATGCAAAAGAGATTGTTTGGTTTAACATTAAAAGAACTCAGAAAGCTAGCCTATCAATTAGCAGTTAGGAATGGTTGTGAGCATCCATTTAACAAAGATACAGAAATGGCGGGAGAAGACTGGGCTCACTCATTTATGAGGCGTCATTCAGAGTTAAGTTTGAGGAAGCCTGAGGCTACTTCTGGAGCACGTGCCATGGGATTTAACCGAGTAGCAGTTCTTTACATTATTAAATAAAGTTATTATTGAGAAAAAAATTACCTGTGAAAGAATTTATAATTGCGATGAGACTGGCATTACAGTGATTCCAAAGCAGCATTCAAGGGTTATTGCAAATAGAGGACAATGTCAGGTAGGCGTATTGACTTCTGCTGAGCGTGGCAATACAGTAACGGCAGAAATTTGTTGCTCTGCTGCGGGAAATTTCATGCCCCCCCTGTTGATTTTCCCGCGACAAAAGAAGAGACAAGAATTTGAAATTGGCTTGCCACCTGGAGCTTGGATGGATGACTATGGAAGTGTTTTTCGAATGGTTCAAGAAGTTTATTAAATTTTCTGGTGCAAAAAAAGAAACTCCCGTGCTCTTACTATTTGATGGACATGCATCTCATACGAAAAACATCGATGTAATAGGTCTGGCTCGAGATAATGGCGTTATTTTATTATGTTACCCACCGCACTGTTCGCACAGGCTCCAGCCTCTAGATGTGGCATTTATGAGACCTTTCAGTCTATACTACGAAGATGAAGTGCGAAGATGGTTGCGGTCAAACCCAGGTAAGGTTGTTACTTTATTTCAAATTTCAACCTTGTTTGGACAAGCTTTTATTAACGCCGCTAATATGAAAACCGCGCTAAAAGCTTTGAAAAAACTGGTATTTGGCCAACAAACGAGGGGATTTTCACTGACGATGACTTTTTACCAGCCGAGACAACTAATATTCCCATTGCTGAGACAGAAATTGCCCCTACTCAAGTAACTCAAGTCGATGATTTTCCAGAAAATAATTCCTTCAATGATCCCTCAACCCCACCTACCAGAGAACTAAAGGAAACTAGCAACGAAACTCAAAATGGCTCTTTACCCTGGATGTCTGACACTCCTATTGCACCAATAAAAAAAGTGATCACCTCTAGTTATCCAGCCGTTTCTCCGGAAGCTTTTATGCCAGTACCAAAACTAACGACAACCGTTAAGCGAGTGCAGAGAAAGAGAGGCAAAACCACTATTATTACAGAGTCACCGTATAAAGCAGAGTTGACTGAGGTATTAGAAAAATCAAAGAAAAACAAAGTGAAAAAAATCTTTTAGGTCAGAAGCAGAAGAGGGAAACAGAAAAGATGTCTCGACCAAAGAAGCAAAAGATAATAGAAGCTAGAGTAAGCTCCGAGGAGGAAGAAGGAGAAGACACATTATGTTTATTCTGTAACGACCAATATTCAACATCAACTGAATGTTGGATTTCTTCATACAGTGTAAAAAGCGGGCTCATTAATCTTGTGCGGGAATAGATAGTGACGACGACGAGTCAGAACTGATTTGTGACATTTGTAAACCCGAGTACCCCATCGTGCCCCGCCGACGGGGCAGAATGGAGTAAAAGACACTTTTTGTTTATGTTGATGACATAAAAAAACTGTTAGCCTTATTTTCATATTTGTTTGTGTTTTCATGTTCATGATACCTCAATAGATCATTATGTACCTTTTTAAATTTCTGTAACATCATTTACCCACCCAAACTTGAAATTGAATGTTACGGTCCCCATTCCGCCCCGGTCTCCCCTACCGGATGACTGGAGAGATGAATTGAAAAATTGCAGTGTGAAACCTACACCATTTGAAGTCATTGATTGTGGCAAAAATTTTGATTTTCAAGATTGGAGTACGTTTTTATCCAAAGAAGTGCCCCTTTCCAACCCGAACAGTCAGGATGCTCAACTTTTGTAAACAGAATCCTCGCGTTTTTCACAATTCGACATAAATAGGCCTATACGCTACTTCTAAATTTGATAAGGTAATTCGGAAGAATCTAAAAAAGACGCAATAAGATCAACAAAAACGAGAAGAGGAAACATTGAGAAAACTTTACCAGTGCTCAATCCCAATTAAAAGTAAGAAATGGAAGGATCTGCAGGATCTGTCCAAATTTCTAGAGAGAGCAGATTCCAGGGCATTTTATCAACAGTTAATATCTCTTGATCATCCAGAAGACAGCAGTGATGAATATGTCGATGACCCGCCAATAGACGCTTAAAGCAGGGGAAAAGTGGCACGAGTCCAGAGATGAACATCATGTTTTGTTTGTTACGTTACTAGCTTTGAATAAAAGTTAATTTTTTAAAATCTATTTTACCAATAAGCACACTGTTTAGCAAAGACATTCTTTTCGGATTATTTTTCATCAATTTTGCTTTCCAACCTAAGTAAGTTCGGATGGACTATTGTTGTTATTCCCTGGTACCCTTCATATCTATAGTTTAGTCGCAGATGGCAGTCTTCATTCATATATTTCTTGTAGAGAGAATTCTATCCAAGGTCATATTAGTTTTGATTGATGAGCTGCGGCCATACTCGTCAAATGTGTTATTAATGTGTTCTGGGTATGACCTACTTCAAGCATGAATTATTTGAACCGGCCAAAAGTGTGCTATAACTGGTACGTTCTCTGTTTTGCCTTATTCATTAGGCGGATTTCGAGCGCGTCTGGCGCTAGGTCCATTTGTCAACCGACACTTGAAAGCGTTTTAAGTGGTGGAGCGAGTGAGGACTGATGGAAGGTTCATGTACCGGAGCCTCAAGTGTCAACACTTTCGGTTTTATCCAAACGAAAGTGGGATAAAGCTTTCCTAATCTTTAATTGTTCATTAGCTAATGCTGATGGTAGGAATTCGCCAGTTCGGACGTTTGTACTAAATAATAATAAACAACGTTCTATTTCAGTATTTCGCAAAAAAAAACTCATCGTTCAGTTGACTGCATGAGTGGTACCCCATACTTATTTTTCGATCAGATCAAATTAGCAAGCTAAAATTTTAAGCGTGAAAGTAACAGTTGAGTATTTGAAGATGGGCCATATGGAAAATTTTTTAAATGAAATGTGGGATGATGTAATATCTCACTTTGGAGTTACCTATGAGTGTCTCATAATCCCGAAATATAAAGTTACTATCATCATGCAGCAGATATAAAACTGGTACAAACAAGCACCTACAAACATCAATAGCCACTGAATATTTATAAAAATAATAATAAAAATCTGGAGACCCTCTTGCAATACTAAAATTTTGCAGGAACACTGGACTCAAGATATAAACTCGCGAAAAGACCCAAGTCTGATGTCAACCACTCCAAATAAAAGGGTCACCATTTTTGATAATAACGGTCTGGGGACTGGGCTGTCAAAGTGGAGCGTTTTTGTATAGGATGAGTAACTAAGAATACGACGTATTGCATCTGGGAACCTATCCATAATAGAGGCCTGCGGCTAAAACAGTTATTACTAAAACAGCCGAGAGAAGAAGCTGGAAAATATTTTCAAGTTTCTGAAATGGCCGCTAGTGGACGTAACTGTAATCTTGAATCTAAAAAAGTGATGTTTCTATGCATTCCGCTATATTAACCTAACAAAAAAAATACCCGATCTTTAAATTCGAAGATAACACTGGTGAACAAAATTAAAATATGTTTTTGGAACATGGGCAAAACAAGGTGGCTTTTATGTAAAAAGTATCCAAAAAGCAGGAAGTAGCATTCGATTTTTTCTATCACCCCCGGTTTTCTTGCAATAAGGCATTTCATTTGTTGCTTATACTCGGAAAATATAATGATATGTGTGTAAGAGTACTAATAAACACTCGAATAAACATTAATCCCAGAATGTTGTTATCGATGTTTTACGGCGATATGTTGCTCCCGAAGTATACTAAGAGACATATAAATCCGAACACCCAGTTTAAATGGTTTTATTTTAATAAAAGTTGGTGAATGTATTTATCTTACTGTAAATAACAAGTGAAAAATTTTTCAGCCTTATCAGTTGGACATTCCGGTTTTTATACTGCTTTTTTCTAATTCACTAACGCTCTAAAAATGAATATTTCAGCCGCAGTAAGAATCAACGTTGGCGGATTTTGGTTCTTGACATCCTTTACGATCGGTTACGATGCCTAGAGTACGGAGACCTGTACGATTTCGTCAACTTAGTGAGTTTGATAGGGGCCGTATAGTGGGACTTCGGGAAGCTGGACTTTCTTTTCAGGCAATTGCAGTTAGAGTGCAAAGAAGTGTAGACACTGTGGTTAGCTGTTGACAGGCATGGCTTTGAGAAGGCCGTACGCAAAGAGTAAAGGGTACTGGACGCCGCCGTAGAGCAACAGACCGTGAAGATCGCCGCCTAAGATTATTGGCCATAAGGGACCGTTTCTCCACTACCAGGTCCATTGCAAATGAATGGTTTGTAGAACACGGAAGACCTATTGGCATGCGAAGTGTTTACCGACGAATGAGAAGTTTTGGCTTGTTTTCATACCGGCCACACTGGGTCCTCCTTTAACTCGAGAACACCGACGTAATCGCCTTGAGTGGTGCAGACAACGGTCACTCTGGGATCAGGAATGTCTTTAGTGACGAGTCTCGATTTTGTTTAGGCATGCACGATGGTCGTGCCAGGGTTAGAAGGCGACGTGGTGAAAGGCGGAATCCACAGTTTTTTGTTGAAAGACATGTTCATCACACTGTTGGAATTATGGTTTGGGGTGCTATAGCTTATGGTTCCAGGTCACCTTTAATCTTCATCAGAGGTAACATGAACGCGCAGCGTTATATCCACGAAGTTCTAGAACCCCATCTTTTACCCTATCTTGACACCCTGGCAGATCCAACTTTACAACAAGATAATGCCCGACCACATGTTGCAAGAGTCACAATAGACTTCTTTCAACATAATGATGTCACATTGTTACCATGTCCACCAAGATCTCCCGACTTATCCCCAATTGAGCACGTGTGGGATATGATGGGTAGGAGATTGCTCAATTTGCAACGTCCTCCTCCGGCTCTAGAAGCACTTCGAGAGGAGTTGGTGGTTGCCTGGAATGAGATACCACAGGAGGACATTGGCTACCTGATCAGAAGCATGCCTAGGCGCGTTGGAGAATGCGTAGCACATCAGGGTGCATCCACACATTATTAAAGGTCAAAGGGCTTCAAAGCAGTGCAATCATTTTGAAATTTTTATCATTTACTTATTATGCTTCATTAAGTACTTATACAAAATTTTATTAAAATAAAACCATTTAAACTGGGTGTTCGGATTTATATGTCACTTAGTATATCTCTTAACAATGTCCAGCAATAATCAGTAAGCAAATTGTCACTCCATTTGCCTTGATACCGTTTTTCCATAGCAGAAATGTCTTAGTGGAACCGTTCATCATATTCATCACTAACCGCACCTAAATTTTCCGGAAAAAAATCGAGATGAGAATCCAAAAAGTGAATTTTTAGAGACATGTTACATCCTATTTCTTTATAAGCATTAATTAGTTCACTCACAATATCTTTATAATTGTCCGCATTCACATTGCCTAAAAAAATTGCAGTAACTGATTTAAAAGCATTCCAAGCTCGTAATTCAGTTTCATTTAGAGCACTGTCAAATACATCATCCTTCATGATTTTCTCGGAAATGTTTGTTTTAAATGCAGAAACTCTCTTTCATTTCGATCCATAGCTTTCAGAAAATTTTTCATCTGTCCCAACTTAATATGAAAAGGTTTTTGGTATCAACTAGTGGTTCATGGGCAATGCTTTTGAGGCCCGGAGTTAATACCTGACGTAGTGGCCACTCCATTTGTTCATAATGACGATCTCCCGCACGACTGTCCCATTTACAAATAAAACAACAATATTTGGGATATCCCAGTTGCATTCCATTATAACGGATATGCTTTAACAGAACTCGCATATTTTCGTATGATTCCTTCATATGAACTGCGTGCGCTATAGGTACAGATGGATATTTATTACCGTTGTGTACCAATACAGATTTTAAACTAAGCTTAGAGGAATCAACGAACAGGTGCCAATCATTTGGATCATGTTTCCGTCATAACGCGTCAAACAAATTGTTGATATGGGAGCAATATATCAACTCCCTTTCTTGACGGAAACAGTGTGTGAGGTGTTTTTGCCGTTTTGGGTAAAAAGTAATGTTAACATCACCGTGGAGAAGATTCCATCCTTTTAATCTTGACGCTAAAAGTTCTGACTGAGATTCTGACAGATGTAATACTCGAATTAAGTCATTAAGTTCGCCCTGTGTGATCAAATGCAAAGCTGATGGTAAACTAAAATACTTAACAGTATGTTTCGATTTTGTTCCAATACCTTTAATATTTGTGAGGCAAAAACAGCAATCAGTAGTATGGTCTCTCGGTTGTCTCTGTACCGCAAAGGGCATTTTATGATTATCGCCTCTTCACCAACCTGTTAAGAACGTTACACAAAGC